AAATTATGAACATTGCTCAACATCATGAAAATTAAACCTTATTTTCAATAAGCAATCCTGAAAAATATTTGGGGGTGCTTAACTTTTTTCCAGGTGTATAGTATACAAGTTTTAATTTCTTAATTCTACAAGGCAATATCAAAACAAATCCTGAATTTCCACTAGTGTGACTCACATTTTGTCTTAGCATATCATCATCCCTATTTTATCCACCCCACTCCCGGAAAAGTACGAAATTAAACTTAAAATACTCTATAAAATCGTTATTGCTCAAACAAACTATAATTTTTATAGCCTTCAATTTGTTTTGTTACAGAGCTATCAAATACAAAATCATACCCCTCCGTCCACACCCACCTGTCACATCCTCTCTTTCACAGTTCATTGATAGTTCTCTCTTACGTAGTTTTTTCTTTATTATTTCAGTTCTGTTACGTATGTACAAAGAAATAATTATATAATTGTTAGTAACAATGGAGGGTCTGTACAAGATCCAGAATCCAGGAAAAGTGGATTAAAATATAGAGATCTGTAGGACCTAATCTGAGAAGTTTTTTGCTATGGCTTTTTCATTGGATATAGTTGTTGTAATGATATTCTATCTCTCCAAAGTTAACCACCCACTGTTTTATCCATGTCTTCTGATTATTCTGTGAACATGCCCAGTCTATAGAGAGATGTGCTTATTTTTGTTAGTGTGAAAAGATATTCTTTTCTGACTTGTTTTATAACATGCTTTCTCTGTAACTTGTATCCTGTTATGATCACATACATGTCTGCACTAGAAGCACATCAAGCATTTTGTTACCTTACAGTTGCAAGCAATTTCTGAATCTGATGTTTCCAATATTTGTTTTCCAAGATATGTACAACCTTGATGTTAATGTTTGTCACAAAAACTTGTGACAACACTAGATCACCACTTTGTAAAGATTAAGATGATTGATAAGGTGAAAATCAAAGTTTTATAATAAGTATTAAAAACATGGTAGTGCCAAGAAAAATCTCTAATTACTGATGTTTCTGATATTTTTTGAAATTCCATCATGAGCATAAACAACTTAAAAAGAATTAGCAACTTCGTAAGTATAAAAAACATCATAAGCTTTAAAGTGAGAAGATTTCATATGGAAGTTTAGAAATAACACAATAATAAGATGATTAATTAGTTTACATTTCAAAGTACAATCTTGTAGAAACTAGAAATACAAGAAAGTGTTGAGAAATCAGTAAATTAAACAACTTAAAGCAAAATCGTAGAGTTTATACTTTTTTGCATGCATATTTTTTAAAGATGGAGAGAGGCCAAGAGTATTTTCAAGAAGGATAAGTAGATGTTTCTAGCATTTTCTTTAAACTTTCACTGTGTACTATTGCTGCAATACAAGTTGCATATTCTAAAAATTGATTATATGGATAACGTTATGATAAAGTACATGCATTTCAGTTATGTGGTGAATATAAATATTTGGGACAATATGTTTATGACAATAAAAAATCATCAAAAAATGATAAATCATATTAAAAAAAACCTGATAAAACACTAGCATTTCTGACAGTTAGAACTATGTTCTACATTTGTTCACTTGTTAAAAGCAATAGGGTTTTGTCAGGTTTTATTGAATGGAAGAATGGAATATTACTTTGTTATGCCAAAGATTTCTTCTACTAAAGCAATCTTGTTTACTGGTGAGCAAGGTGAAGATGCACTATTAACTCAAAATTATGCAAATAGCTTCATAATTCCTTGTAAATCTTCTAATATGTGTTAAACATAATCAAGAGACCTTCTGCCACTGCAACATGCCACAGTCTTGGCAGATTGAACTTGTAATTTTTTCTTTAGGTGGTATTAAGCTAAATACATATTAAAATCTTTCATAGTATACTATTGTTTATGTATTTGATTTTTGATGAAATTTTGAAATATGCAGAATTTTGACTAATGTAGCAATGCACTTATGGTCAAGTTTTACACAAGGAAATTAAAAATGAAAATAGGAGATACTAATTCACAAAAATTGAATTTGAATGATGATTAAAAGTCTTTATTAAATAAAAAGTTCTAAGTAACTAAATGGAAATGTTAAAGGCTGTTGCTTGTGAATTAGTAATTATCAAGTCCTGAATGGTGACTTTGACAAAACCATTGGCTGTAAATGTGCTCATAAAAACCAAAGTTTGATTATATAAGGTTAAATTTAAATTTTATGAAATTTTATAAAATGATGCATGCATATGTAACACTTAATAAATTTTTTGTTCTGTATTGAGAGGTATATTACTACAGGAATTTAGTATACTGTAATATGTTGCAAAAACTACTAAAAGTTATGAAACTTTTAAAGGTTAAATTTAAATTTAATGAAATTTTATAAAATGATGCATGCATATGTAACACTTAATAAATTTTTTGTTCTCTATTGAGAGGTATATTACTACAGGAATTTAGTATACTGTAATATGTTGCAAAAACTACTAAAAGTTATGAAACTCCTAACACCCATGCTTTGTATTTTATGAAATCTTGATAGTTTTGTTGTCAGAGATGTTTGTGGTTTGTAAATGAATAGTTGTGCAACTAAGCATAATTCTTGGCTTGAATGAGAACCTGACTCATTTTGTTTGTAATATTTACATTTCTCTAAATATGTTTAACACTTTAGGTTAAAAAAGATCCAAAAACTGGTCAGTCGAAAGGATTTGGTTTCATGCGATTTGGGAATTACGAATCTCAGGTTCGTGTATTATCAAAACGTCATATGATTGATGGAAGATGGTGTGATGTGAAGATACCAAACTCAAAGGTAGGCATGTTTTTGCAACCAAAGTTAAAGTGGCATATATTGTATAAACCATACCAAATTGTTATTTTGTTTAAAGCTGGGTGATTAACTTGATTAATCAATATAATAGATTAGTATCACATCAGATAATCAATTGAAATTATGATTAAATCAATTAATGTCACCAAAATATTTCACCAGTTGAAATTAGTGTTTCATTTTATTACTATGTTATTATTCAAACTATCCAAGTGATCAAAATATTGCAGTTATGAATTCTCATTATTATTCTCTGTTAATGCAAGATTGTTCAGTTTAATCATTTTATGACTCATGAAAATAATCAACTAAACTAAGTTAGTTTTCTGATTATTGCTATTATTGATGTGAGAATAATCAATTAACCCTCTGGATTTGGGTAGGTCAAAGTGTGTATGTCATGGATTTTTACAGTTAAAATTTAATTAACTGTTATCAGTGTATGCCAATAAACTTGGCATCAAAACATAACTTATAATTAATATTTTTATATTATGTAAGAAAGTGTTTAAATAAATTTTCAGTCTTCACTTCTGTGTATCTCTTGAATGCTTCGTTGCTGTGAACTGCCCATTTTTGATTTTCTCTCTTCCTCTATATGATGTTCTGGGTGTGCCATCAATTGCATACACATACTATAGCTATTGCTAAACCATGATATAAAGTTATAGCCTCCAAGCTTCTTACTTTACTGAGATATAAACAAGAAAGTCAAACCAACATGCCACACCCCTCCTATCTCATCTTGTGTTCCAAAAAATGTCAGTAATTCTCTTGGACTTTTGCTTTTGGATTATTTATACCCAACAGAAAGAGCACATTATGCTTTACATGATTTATTATGCAGCTAGTATATTCAGGAAATAATTAGCCTCAGTTTCATTGTTTTCCTTAGTGGTTTTCAGGTGCAACAGCTAACATAAGTTTCTCAACCTATTCATAGCTTAGTTAGAAAGCCAATTAAATTACAGTAGTTTTAGGACTTTTATTTTTGAGCCTGATAATGTTTTGTACTCCAGATTACATATTTGAAATAAAAGTTTATATTTTCAACCATCAAAAAAGTAGGTCTACAGTACTTTGTATGCTCATGGCAAAAAGCCTATGCCCAGATATAAGTAATAAATTACTTTGTTTATGTATATTTTTTATTTATTGTGATAAAAGTAACTAAAATGTGAAAAATGAGGAACTTATTAGGTGAGATAAGAAAACTTAAATCAAGTTTCCCATGATTCTCAGTTTTCTAGCACATGCACATGGCATCATATGATTGTAAATCAAGTGTTTGTTTAAAGTTGTTTGGCTGTGATGAATGACTTCTGATATGGTAATTCCCTTTTCTCACAAGATTAGCTATTCCCATTTAGTGCTGTCCTCTGTATGCAAACTTTTTTTGAACACATGCCACAATCCTTCTGCTCCCCCCTATTGGAATCTAGTGATTCCAGCATGTCTCATCCAAAATCATAATGCGTCACTTCACCAATGGAGTGCATTGTAGTCACGTGATGCATGTGACTCCCTCTATACTCTTCCACCAAACTGTCACTTCTCATTTGGCAGAGCTTGTACTTGGATGTTTTTTGTCATTCTTTACTATTTCACGTTTATATTTAGTATACTCACGAAGTGGTCTTCAAAATTTGGAGTTTAAAACTTGCCTTCATTTATCCAAGCTTATTCCAGTCACATTCTGAAGCTAATGTTACCACTTTGGGGGTCACGCTTACGACTAGCGCTGTCTTATAGGCTGCAGGTGCGGGCAACCTGGCGCAGGTTTTTATCCTCTGGGATATTGAACATTAGAAAGTTCGGCCTCTTTCTTCAGTTATCACTCACAATTTCTCCTGTAGAAGCTGACTCTGTTTGGGCGGATGGAGATCTTGATAGCCTTTTTCCACCACCGGATTTCTAGTGTTTTGTTCTTCATTTTCATTATGTAGTCTCTGTTCTAATACAGAGATTCTATGTTCTTTTTGCACGTATATAATGGCTTTCATTACATTTCTCGATGGACAGTTTCCACCTTATTTCATCGTCTATTGTTTGGACTTTCAGGGGCCTTGCTTCGTTAGTCAGTATTTGGATCCCTTTCAGTGGCCAGTTGTGCCTTACCAGGTATCCTTCAAATGAACTCGGCACTGTACAGCCGTTCTCTTCTATGGCTTTGCTGTGCTTACCATTGAGATGGGATGTTTCACAAAATTGCTTAACTCTGAATACGGGGTTGGCCAATTTCACCCACCATGTGACTTCTTTGTACTCGTTTAAAGTATTTATAGATTTAATACTTTTGACTTTCAATATAGTGTGTATATCTATACAAAATTTGGCAGTCTTTCAGTTAATATTATAAGTCTTTCACAGACAAAAAAATATATTTTTTTAGTGAAGTAATTTTCATAAAACAAAATAAAGATTTCTCCATTAATATATTGAGTATTTGTTTTGAATAGTCTGTGTGAAAAGCAATTTTCATGTTAAAATTAAAAATACTTTCCTCATCTTAAAAATCTCAAATTTCCTTTGTATAATGCCTTTAAATGCATTTCAAACTTTTTTCAGTAAAACTTTATAGTTTATCTGTTATTTTCTCTACTCTATCTCAAAATAGGATAAGTCAATTCAATCAACCTAGTAACAAAAAAAAAAACAATTAAAATAAACCTAAATTACTCTTTTTTCTTTCTAGAATGACTTCAAATTGTAATATGAAACTACAAGTAGCTCTAAGTTCATAACATTAGACATCTATTTATAATTAAATTTTATTGTTTTATAGCCCTTTTAACTATGTCTAACTACTGTCCATGCCATTATAAGTTATAAATCACTCAGGGAATGTGCAGCTCACCACTCTTCTTTTTTTTTTTGCTGTTGGGTTTTGAAGAGATTTATCCCTAATTTTTATACTATAAATAGTAATGCAATTAATTATTTTATTTTATTAAATAATGCACCAAAGTATATAGACAAATAACATGCAAAAAGTAGACAAATTCACTTACCTCTCAAAATTTTTCTGGCTTTCTAACTATGCAACAATAGCTGTTACAAATTCATCTAAGCTAGTTGTTAACTTTCCCATGGGAATGATGTTCGTACTCTGATGAAATTGCCATTTAACTGTTTGGAACATAATGTTATACAATATGTCATTGATAGATGAAAAACCTTGACTTTCTGTTGGTTATAGGTAATATATAATGAAATGTAAGAGAGAACTATCAACGAATTCTGAAAGAAAGGATGTGACAGATGAGTGTGGCAGGAGGGGGCTGATTTTGTATTAGATAGCTCTGTAATCAAACAAAATTGAAGTCTATAAAAATTATGGTTTGTCTGAGCAATAACGATTTTATAGAGTAATTTACATTTAATTTCTTACTTTTTTGAGGGGTGGTGGATAAAATAGGGATGATGACATGCTAAGAGAAAATGTGTCATGTGGGTCACACTAGTGGTAATTAAGGATTTTTTTAAATGTTGCCTTGTAGAATTAAGAACTTAAAACTTGTATTCTATTAAAATATGGATTATTAGCTAAGATTTTATACTATTCTAATTGGTGTAACATAAACAAAAGTAGTTTAATAAAATTTTACATGTAAGACACTAAAACCTTGTGTCATGTGCAGTAAAGGATACCTGTGGCGATAGGGTTGAATAACCTTGTGATGTTTTTGCTTCATAAATATGCCCATTCTGGATCGTAACCCATGGACTGCATGGGTAAAGCAGAAGGGAATAGCTGTCTCTCCCTGCTATATTTTGATTGAATAAATTGGTGTAGTCTGCTTTTCAAAATAGGGTTTCATGGTCACCCATTGCACTGGCTCTGGTGATGATCTTCCTTCAGACTGTCCACCGTGTATTCACCCTCCTTTCTTCCAGAAGAGTGTGGGAGCCCTTATACCACTTTTCCAGTTCCAAGCCGCTGGGGTGGTTGACCGTGGAGGCACCCTCCTGAATGGGTTCCACAAAAAGATGGCTATAACCATTCAGTCATTTCCCTGTCTCGTGAGTTGAGTTTTCTTACATACACATTCTTTTGATACCAGATGTTGGGTTCCCAGATCAATCTATCAAATGCTACTACATGTGCCATGTTCGGGTATCAGATTGGTTAACAATTCCTTCTGATCTCTTGAACTAGAGGTGAAGATGGTATGATTCTCATCCTGCCCCTGAGTGGATGTTGGCTCCCAGCTTTGATGTATTGACATACCCACATGGTCAGTTGCATCCTAGCCACTCTACATCTCGGGGCACATTCATTGTTTACCCACTTTTAAACCATGGGATTGACTTCCATATAATGTGGTTCGGCACACTATCTAACCAGAATTCTCTCCAACTTGGATGTGCTCCTTTACCATTCTGCCTATATCTCATATATATTTCATGTAGGGCGAAGAGTATACCTGGTATAGAAGTGGTGCAGTTTCCCTCATCAGATCTTCTGGTTTGACTTTCTCATTTCCAGGGGTTTCCTTTGGACATTTTTGAAGGGTGCTTCTGTCATACCCTCTCACCGGTCCTTATTCAGTGTGGGATTCCAGCTAATCTTGTGAGCAGAGGGAATTACAGTATTGGAAGTTATAATTTTCCTATACTGAAAATGTATTTCTAATAGGTAATTCCCTCTCTCAACCCCCCCCCCACCCACACACACACTGAAAACTGGTACTTCCATCTTCCGATACAGTATTTCCCTCTGCTCAGTCCATTTTGTGCTGCCCTCTATATGCAAACTTATTTTATAACACATGCTACAAGTCTTCCACACACCCCTATTTGAATCAAAGATTCCAACATGTCTCATACAAATCATCATGTGTTATCTCTTCACCAATAAGAGATACTACTTGACGCATGTGACTCCCTCTATGCACCACTCCCAAACTATCACTTTTCATCTTTCTTTTGCTGATTACATCTTGAAGTGGTTTAACTTAATTTAATTTACTTTATTTCAAGAATTTTGTTTCAATTTTATTTTCAAAAGTGTTTCATTTACCCATGTTTTGCCACAGATTTTTTTGCTTGTTTGTTTGGTATCTAGCATGAATTCCGAAGTTGATGTTACCACTTTTTCTGATGCCATACTTTAGGCCACAGGTGTGGGCAACTCATTGAGGGATTTATCGGCCATTATTCACAGGGAGATTGAGCATTGTATGGGACAACCTTAGCCTTCTGATTCCAATAGGGGGGTGCAGAAGGCTTGTGGCATGTGTTATAAAACAAATTGCATATAGAGGGCAGCACAAAACAGGAAAATCTATTATTGTTAGAGGAGGGAAGTATCTATTGGAAATACATTTACAGTATTGGAAAATTATAACTTCTGCCAGACTCAAAGTGATAATTTGATGGAAGAGTATAGAGGGAGTTAAGTGACTGAATCACACTCCATTGATGGAGAAGTGAGGCATGATGATTTGCAAGAGAGACATGTTGGAATCACTAGATTCCAATAGGGTGGGGGGAGCAGAAAGCTTGTGGCATGCGTTCAATAAACGTTTGCATAAAGAGGGCAGCACTGAATGGGAATAGTTAGGAAAATTATAACTTTCAGCATACACAGGGATAGTCTGAGTGGAGCTGTAAAGCAATAAAACTAAATAGACCTAAAGTCTATTAAATTTGGCTGTAAGAATAAATAGTGTATGAATGTCTGTTACAATGTGTGGTCATTCCAGAAAGAAAAAAAAGATATTTTAGATTTATTTCATATTTTTCAACTTTTTAATTTACCTAGTGTTATTTAAGTAGTGTTAGTGAAGAGAAAATAAATAAAATATAAAGTTTTACTGAAAAAACAACAATATGGTATTCATTTAGGAGTTCCTTTATAGTCGATCATATAATTCATTTTATATATCTAGTCAGTTTTAACTTGATTGATATTCATTAAAATATTTCTTTTGATACTTTATTTTGCCAAATACAGTAGTAACTACTTCTGGCTTTAAATAATAAAAAAACAGCAAAAAATGACCAGAGAAGGACCGCACCTTTCAAAGTGACATCACCTTTACCCTTGTTAGGCAAGATATCATGATTTTTGCTAATAATCATGATAAGTAGGAATTTATTTGTGTGTTATTTGAGTATGATAAACTTAATAATATTTAAGAATTAAGGATTTGAGTTATTAGAATATTTTGCTGTCACCTACTGGCTGAACCTAAGCTTGCCTGAAGTATAACCTTACAAGAAACTTTTTGTGATTTTCAAACAGATATGATATTATATGAAAACATTTTCAGCACTGTTGAAAAAATTATTAAATAATTCTCAGATTTATGTTTTTTCTAAGTTTTCTAAACTTACCATTAGATTCCTTTGCTCATCCCTGTAGGAGCTCTGGCTACTCGCTAACTCAAAGAAACTGTAAAATATTACTAATACCACTTTATTTACTCTGCACTGACATAAATAATTTATAGTTTGCTCTCTATAATCTTATTTAGATACTGTCTATAGCTGTTTTCAAAACTGAGCTTCATTAGTAATTCTTCAGACCATACACTATGACATCATAAAAGGGTGGTAATAAAAGGCTGTAACAATAAAACCACAAACAGAGAAGGGAAATCATGGGGAAAAAAAAGATGGATGATTATGTTCTAAAGGTAATATAGTTTCTTCGCAACATTAGGATGACAGAAAAAGTTAGAGAAAGATTGATAAATGCATAGCTTACAGGCAAATCTCTTAGCTGTGAAAATGAACATTTTTTTTTGTGAATTGCACTAAATAAATGGTAAGTTTTTAAAATACAGTAGAATTATTATATATACTTAAATTTTGAAATTTGTTGTGCAGGTATGAAAAATGCTCACTGTTGTGATAGGGTTAAAGGTGTGTAAATTAGACACATGGAGATTCATAAGATCATTTTGAAACAAACATAAATGCCTGAAGACCAAATCAAGGAATCCAATATTTTTTTTTTTCCTCCAAACAGCAGGAGAGCCAAGCAACAGAACTCAGTAGGAAGGTATTTGTTGGTCGCTGTACTGAGGACCTTACGGCAGATGATCTCCGCGAGTATTTCTCCAAGTATGGTGAGGTAACTGATGTATTCATCCCCAAACCATTCCGGGCCTTTGCCTTTGTGACCTTCATGGACCCAGAGGTGGCCCAAAGCCTGTGTGGGGAGGATCATATTGTTAAAGGCACTAGCATTCATGTCAGTAATGCTGTGCCTAAGAATGAATCTGGAGGTCACCATGGACGTATGCATGGAAGAATGGATGGTAGAGGGGGTCATGGTGGGATGGGCGGCCCACCCATGGGGGGATTCGGGAGTGGTCCAGGGCCAAATGGTCCTTTTGCTGGTGCTCAGATGCCCCACCATGGAAATATGGGGAGTGGTGGTGGTGGTGGCAACATGTGGAACCAAGGAAATGGTGGTGGAGGAAATCGTGGTGGAGATATACCTAACTTAGCAGCTCTTGGAAATAGTTTGGGCTTAGGAACTTTGGGAATTGGGGGCAACCATCCTGGAGGGCAGGGAAACACTGGTGGCCAGGGGGGAGTCAATGCTGCTCCTCCTACACTTAGTATGGGTGCACTAAATCTTGGAGCAGCTTTGCCTCTGAGTTCAGCTATGGTTGCAGCAGCCCTAGGGCAAGCAGGCCTTGGGTTGTTTGGAGGGAATTTCCAGTCAGCAGCACTTAGTCAAGCAGAAAATCAAGGAATGGCAAATCCCCAGAATCCACATATTCCCAATACAACATCAACACCATCACTTGGTGGGGGAAATGCTCAAAGATCTGGATTTTTAGAATGGATGAATCAAACCCAGGGTTCGGGGGATGCAAATAACAGCAATCAAGGTCCCTGGCCTCAGCGAGATGTTAAACAAGGGTTTGGAATGTCAGTGTCTCCTTGAATGTAAAAGTGATGGTGTCTGAATGGGGACAGTGTGTGTGGATGAAGCATTAAGATATCAGAAGTATTATTTGCTGAATGAAGGTGCATATGTGAACGTAAGGATTTATCTTAAAGTAAATGTTCTTGTTTTATTGTTTACCTTCCGAATAATTATCTTTATCTTGTAAACACCATAACTGTTCTTGATTTTAGCTTATCACTGATTTATCATATCAGGATTTTTATCAAACGTATAGAAAATATATTCATTAAACTATACTGAACAGCGATCCACCCTTTTTATTATTATAAACAGAAAGAATCCATGCTAAGCAATTTTTTATACTTTTTTTAATCTCCAATATTTTTTGCAGTAAACTAATTATCAGAAATCATCTAATTTTGCAATTAGACAACCATATCTGTCATGGGTAAGTTTCATTATGCTTCAGTATTTTCTGAATCAGATAATTAAACTTATGATAAACTTTCACTATGTTATTGTCATGTGCAGCTGTGCATAATGTGTGGGTAACTTTATTAGTTGTTAACAAAGTACAGTAGTTTTCTTTATAATATTCAAGTCAAGTTGGACAGAATTTTCATAAGAGCTTTTAACTTTTAATTTTGTAATCTGGTGAATGAAACTTGTGTTGAAAAAATGCCTTTAGTAATTTAATGTGATATGAAATATGTATAAGGTCTGTTAAGTAGACTAGATTTAACAGAGGGACTATGCTATTGAATACTTTGGTATGAGTAAGAAATATTGGAATAAAAAGCAGTAACAGTCCATTTCTGAATATTTTAAGTGCACAATTTGCCAATAACAGTATACACGTAAAGGATATTTTGAGGAAGAATGAGTGTTGTCTGGGTTTAGATTTTCTAAAAATGATTATAATTTGTAATGCATAAGTGTTATGTTCTATAAAATGCAGTTTAATTGTATACTTAGAATGTAGTTGAAAAGTAGTTTACATGTCTTTACGTTTTTTATTATGTGTAATGTTTAGAATTCATTTTGTTCTTTGCACTTAACTGTAAGAAGAAATTTTTCTGTGAAGAGTGTTTAATGTTGCAGTACATTATGTGGGTTTTACTGACTCACTTATGCCAGTACCAGCTGAGAATCAATAAATTTTTCTGTGAAGTGTAATCTTTAAAAGAGAAAGATGGTGGAAAATATCAGATCATGCTGGTGGGAATCATGCATTTAATTATGTGTTGCTTCGTGAGCATTCATAACTATATCATTTGCTCTAAATGATATTTCATGAAATTAATTTTGCTTTTAAAGCAAATGCAAATTGTATTACACTGTACAGTGAAATGGAAACTATTGTGCAGTTATGAAGTCCATATACATTTCTGATAATCTCACAATTCCCAGTACAAAGATGATGAACCAGAGCTTTGTAGGTTCATTGTTATTGAAGATTATCATTTTACATGAGTGAATGACGAAGCAATATAGAAATGCTGAATTTTTTTTTCTTCTATTATTGTTGAGAAAGAGCTTAGGATTTTGTCTATTAAAATAAAGCAAATATTGTAACTAATAACTAGGCTTTTAATGAAATGTATGATCAGATACAAAATAGAAAAACAAAAAAATATTGTTCATTTTAAGAACCTTTCCACGAGTATGAACTTAAAATAAATTTTACAACAAAACAAACACTACTGACAGAAGAATTGTATTTGAAAAATCATCACAAATATGCACATATATATGGTTACACTGAACTTGTTTTTTCCCCTTAAATATTTGAATTAAGGTCACAGTTATTCACAAGAAGTAACTAACAACATCACCTAGTTTTTAAGTTTCACGTTACAGTTTCTTTAAACTTATCTGTATCTCCTTTATACTTTTATGCTGACTTAAACTAGTGTCAGGAAGTTTTCTGTAGTCATAATGATTTACTTTAAGTGTGTATATGTTGTCTAATGTGCATAGAAAAATAAAAATTGCTCTTGCTTTCCAGAAGAATCTGTTACATCATTAAAATAATTTCCTTGTTAATGTGCAAATATCAAATTATTTCTCTATAGAAAATTTCAGTAAACACATCACATGTATAATCCCCTTCACTTTGCTAGTGAAAGCTAGAAAGACTAGAAGTAAGTAAAGTACAAAAATCTTGTATTCTTTGCGAGTTTCCTTGAAGGCATGTGTAAATGAAATCAAGTATATTAAGAACTTAAAGAAAAGTGAGATGGAAAATGAAAAGTATACCAATACTGCTGAAGCTAAACTTGACAGGCTGATTATTCAAGACAAACTAAACACAGCAAATTTGTTTAAGTTTAGGATTTATTGAGATCTTATTAATATCATTACTTTACTTTTAGCTATGTTGTGTTTTTAGATATCTTTAATGACTGAAAAATTATAACTTTAACCTCATTGAGAATCTTTGCAGTTGTGATATCTAAGGCAAAAAGTGAGCTTAAAATATTTTTGAGATCAAAATATTAAAGGAATGATTTTATAGTGAGAAGTGTACTACATGAATGAATGTATGATAACCTGACTGTTTTCAGTATTTTATTAAGAGCATGAATGAAAATTGAACAAGTTCTGGACTGTTGTTATTGGATTGAACATTATTCATATTTGAATCTTATACACAGTTTGTCTTTATCTTTTCTGAGTTTGTTTCAGTTTTTTTATTGGCATTAAAGTCCTCAAGTTGTGGTATGTTTTGTATGATAGAAATTCCCTCATTTCAAAGATTGATATGATATAATCAGATTTCTTTTTATTTCCATTAATATTTTGTCCTTGTGTAGAATTATTTGATTTCTGAGTTTAAAAAGAAAAAAAAAGAAAGTTAAAACCAACTGAAACTGAGAGAAACAAGTTTTAAAAGTTATCGTACTCCTCTATAATACCTTTTTCATGTATGCAGATTGACTTATTTTCTGATTCCAGTTTACATACTTATGTCATAATTAATGTAAAGTTCACTTTGAGATATTTTGAAGTAATGCTTTTTTTCTAAAGATGGATGCTTGTCATTGATAAATTGTATTGTTCAAATGTGATTTGTGGAAGTGTTGGACTGTGAATGAACTTATGATGTTATGTACAATTTATAGTTGTAACATTTAAAGCTTCGGCCATCAAAACAAAAGAAATTTCATGCCTATAACTATAATGAGATGGTTAGGCCTAAAAATGAATAGCTGTTTACTGTTGTGTCAATTGTGCACTTATGTTATATTTGCTAAGGTTTTTATCTTATTGGTACCATATAATTTGGCTATAATTTTACTGTGTGTTATCAGTTTCTTATAACTAAAATTTGCTAAATATATTAAGAGAACATTATGTGCAAAATTTATTTTATTGCTAAAGAAAGAATGAAGTCCTTTCACTTTGTTAAAAGTATAAATGAATGAATAATGGAATTAAAAAAAAAAGGAATTAACTAATGTGTATGCTTGTATCATATTGAATGCTCGTTGAATTGTACCTGCTCTTGGGAAAAAAAAAAAATTTTTTAAAGTTTTATTTTGTAATGTGAGAAAAACCTTTTTTTTTTTGATGGAAGGTGGTTATGTAAAAATCTAAAGTTCTTACAACAAAAGTGTATATTTGTTCACAAGTTTTATTGAATGAAAGGATGTAGTACAGCTTTTCATTGTTTTTTTCTTCAAATCCTGATTGATATGATTATTGTGAAAATGATTGTAAAATTTCATTACTAGTCCTAATTGGATACCCAAAACAAAGATTGGTGTTCTTGCACTAAATTCTGTAACTGTTACAATAGTTTTTTCTCTCTTTCAGACATCTTGGAATATAGCATACATAAGTCTAAATCCACAGTTGCAATCTTACTGCTAGTTATTGAAATTAGAAGATATAACTAGAGATATCAAATAGAAACCAATAGGTTGATTAGTATTTTATTAGTTGTTCAACATTGATGATTAAAAAAAGAAATTATTGTCTTTTCTTTGGTACTATTTTACTGTAGTTAGTGCTCAAACATTTGATGAATAATTACTACTTATTGGCAAAAATTATAAAACCAAATTTTCACTTAACTGGCCATTTCCTGAAAAGTACAAAAAAGGGTACATATGTGCAGAATTGTTTTAAGGAATATTTTTACACCTCACTGTTGTATGGTAAATTTGCCTTAATGTCTGCAGTGTATAGATTAAATAGACAAATATAGAATTTTGAAAGTGTTTGTAAACTGCATAAATAACTGGAAAGTTATTCAGGATACTTCTTTGCTTTCAGTATTTCAGAAATATTCTCTCTTTCATTTGTTACAAAACTGTTAGAAATGGGCCAAAATTTTATTGAAGTTTAATGTGGTTATTTTTCAAAAGCTTATTTCTTATCGGAGTCAATCTAATTGTTAAGCTTTAACCTTACTGACTGTTTTGTTGAGAAATGTGACCATGTGATGTTGTTTCTACCATAAGTTATTGTCAGGTGGAAGATACCAGTTTGTTTTCTTGCTTGTTTGAAGATTTTTGTGTATTGCATGTCTTTAATTGCTTATGCCGGTATCGGAAGAGGCAAAGGAGTGTACTGTTATACAGAAAAGTGGTATAAAGATTCTAAAAGGAACATTGATCAGAAAGTGAGGTTATGACACAGATGTGATTACAATACCATGTTTGTCTGTATGTTGTATGTATTTTACCTAAGTGTGCACTTTTTGATATGTAATACTATATTGTTACCGTGTTTGTAAGGCATCTTTAGAAAAGAAAAAAACAAAACAAAATCATACAGTAATACCAAGTCTGTGTATTTGACTAAGTGCTAAGAACTGTGGAGATTGATATTATGGTTTAAATGAAACAAGGTATAATAGATTTATTTATGACTACCTTTATGAAAATAAATATTTAGGAATTCATCTGTTTGAACTAGCTATTCTGACTTTGTGTGTATAGGGTGGACTTGAAGTTAGTTAACATATTGTACCTGGACACTGAAATTGGTTTGAATGGGCTTGTTACTCAATGTCAACCTGATATACAGTTGGAATATTTCTTATTAAATAATGTATGTCAGTTGATGTAATTACTGAAAGTGATTTTGTTCTGATAAGATTAGTAAATTTAAGCTATCTAATTCCTTTCTCACCCTGCAGTAGTGATTCTATTAATATACATATAATATCAGTACTGCAGTAATGATAACAAACATATGTCAAATTGTGTTATACTTTTTTCTTTTCACTTGTACTGTGAATATATTTGTAAGGCAAGTCAGTGAACCAATACACATCATTTTCTGTAACATCTCAGTTCTTTCATGGTATGATAGATGTTAGATGATGGTAAAAATGCTTTGATCTAGCTGTTTCAACTTGCTCTAAGTTAAGAGTGTTTGTGTTACTTTGCATGTTTTTAGAATAATGATCTTTACCTTTTGGGAATAAAATGTAGCTGTCAGTTGCTGCATGATTTAACTTTGATTCTTGCTTGGCTGAAAAGGTTTATTGTTTTGAAAGTATGAGTTGTTCAAATGTGGCAGACAGTTAAGGGTTTGACCTAAGAAGTGAAATAATCAAATACAGTTTTAACTGGTATATACATTAGTATATTCTTACAATTTGTGAATTATTTAAATTCACACTCGGGCTAATCCCTTACTGTCTTGCTCTAAGAAAGCCATTTAAAAATTTTGACAGAGTGACAACATGTAATTAAAGTATTATTGGGGGTGTGCTTGAGGGTGTCAACATGTTATGCTGTAATATACGTGGCCACTTGCAACATTTGAATGCCATAAAATTTGAGTGTTATGAATGTGTGTATTTACTTTTAAAGTATTCAATAAAAGTGACTGTTCTGCATATGAATGACTGTTTTTTGTCATGTGTGAAAATACATTGAAAACATTTTATTTTCTTTTTGCAACAGTGATGAAACAAGTATACTCATTCATTGCTTTGTAGCTGCTAGAGTTTAACTTTTATTTTAATCCTAAAATGTATAATTGATTATACAGAAATTAGTGGCTGTTTTGGCCATCACACAGTATTGGACAAATAATAAGATGCACTATGAAATTGCCATTAAAATATAAGTTAGTATTAGGGCTCTCAAACAATACAGCTTTTGTGCTTATTGGTTCACCTCTTGCAGAGAAATCTTCATTTGAAAATGAGCTCTCCTCCCAAGGTTTTAACATTTTGCACAATAATTCACCTATAAAAGACTTATTTTCAGTGCTAAGCTAGTCAATATCGATGAAAGAATGTCATGTTGACTTTAATCTCAGTTGCAAGTGTAAGTTTGGAAGGTGAGATATTTGTATGAAATGCAAATGTTGTGGATGCATTCATGATGGAGTTCCTGTTGAAGATAAAGCAATCAGAAAGAAAGGTCATCCAAACATGTTTACAATCCAGCCAGAAAAGGACAAGAAAACTGTCAAAGTAGGAGTTATAGAGAGAATGAGATACTTTGTGTTCTCATTATAACCATTTTTATTGTCGTACATTGTTCAGTAATTGACAGTCTTTTATGATTGATCAGACCTCAGTCAACAAAAGTCATAAGAAATAGTTGATGAACATTTATAGTTATTTCTAAGTGTGCAGTGTGTCTCAGATGTCATGAATATGTTGAAAACCATTCTTACAGTGCAAATTAATGGAATGGCCCTGAGCAAAAGTAATCTTGCTGTGGGAACACTTTTGGTCAATATTAAAGCATCATTTTGGCTGTTACATTGCATTTTTGAGACAAAGTTTTATATGAGAAATTGGTCTGGCAAATTTTCTCTTGTTCAAAGTTGCCACTAAAACATGGCCATTTATGTGTGAGCAACTTGGATTTTAGTGTTAATAGATCAGTAGTTAAGATCTTTCTAAATCTGCAGCTGTGGTAATTATGGATTAAATTAAATTCCCCAAGATTAAAAAGTTTAAAGTTCAATGTGAAAATTATATTTTGGAAGTACTGTTTGTTACTATTATATATTAAATCTTTTAGTATTTTATTCACACTTTTCGTAAATTTTGTACATTTAGTTGACTGTAATAGTATGAAACATTTAGAAATTTATTTTAAAATTTACAATAACTAACACATGCTGATGATATTAAAATTTTGGGTGTTTCTGTCTTTGAGAAGAATGCTGCTGCTTTACAAAAGGATTTGTGTTACTTGGTAAGTTGAGCAAGTAAATGGAAGATGACTTTTAATTATAATAAATGCAAGGTACTACATGTTGGTTATCACATTTTGAATTATGAGTATAATTTTGATGGGAATAGCCTTAACATTGTTATGAAAGAAAAACGATCTTGGTTTTCTAGTTGATCAGTCTCTTAAGCTATTCATCCAATCTGCCGTTGCTATAAATACACCAAATTAGAGAAATAATATAAGATGTGTCAGGCTGAGGCAGTAATTGTGGGTAAAGTTTG